ATGTGAACATAATCAGAAAATAAATCATCCGCAGGACATACTTGACATTCATTTAAAAAACATTTTGGCCCTGGATTTTCGCACATTAAGTATTCAAAATAATCTTTACAGGCATGAGTAATACTTTCTTCAGTCATTTTGTGTAGGTTTGATGCATCACTCATATTTTTAAAATTTCCGTGTACCGTGCATACGCATACGCTATGCGTGCCTTCGGCACCTGCAAGTATGCACCATGCTGGTCTTAACTCAGCAAACTTACTCAAACTGATAGGTTTTTCAGGATAAAATTTCTTGAATTGCTTATGTAAATTGCATACATCAGGCAATTGTAAGCTTTTTTGCATTTTTTACTTCTCACCATCTGTCCTCACTTTCATAACATCTTTTTTATTTGCCATCGTACGATTATTCAGATCTGACTAATAGAAATTTATAACTTTATCAAATCTTGACGTTGATTATCCAGATATTTCAGGTTATAAATCGGAACAGTACTGATTCTTATAAGACTGCACGTTAAAAGTTTATAAATAAAATTATCAATATGTCACTTTATAAGCTATAAAGGGACTTTAAATTTGAATCAAAGGTTGTCCATACACTAGTTCATCTCTGTTTAAAGTATTATCAATATATTGACGTTAATTCTCTAAGCGAGTAAACTTTCTTAATAAGATATTTTCCAATATGAGTTACTCGCAAAATTTAATCCCATAATTATTTATATCCATCGAAAATACAAAAATGCAAGAAGTACTTGATAAATGTGACACATCCAATACTATAAAAACAAATTTAAAATTAGAAATCCAAAACATTTTTAAATTGAATTTGAATCTACTAGCGTGGTGGAAGTTTTTGTATATGGTTGTTTATAAAAAAAATTTTATTTACCTAACTTTGTTTTTATCATGCTTGAATTATCTTTTATTTTTCTTTGTGTATATTTATCAACATATTCAAGCTGTAAAACATTAATTTTCGTTAAAGAAATTTTTTCTTTTATATGCAACCATACGCCTGAACTGCCACCACGTTAACAAAACAGAATTTAATTTCGTATGTTTTTTAGGTAAATGAGACAGACGTGCTTGTTAAGGTGGTTCTTTCATGAAACGATTGTGAAGAATGTCATAAAATCCTCTCTCCAGTACAGTCTCCGTACACAAATACTCCAAGGTTAAAAGCCAAGCTATCCGCAGCTGATGGATCTCCATCGTCAAGAATAATAATAAGGAATAACTGGAAATTTGACCACTGGACCTTTTCAGAGCCATTATAAGTATTTACTTTCACGACTTAACCATTAATCTCATCGCTTCTTTTAAGGGCCACCTAAGTTTAAACTACTTTGCCAACAAATCATTTTTACTACTATTTCCGGAAATGATTCGTCGACTATGTAAAGCCTGCCACTATTAAACTAAGTCAGTCATTCACTGGCAGACGTCTTGAGCGGAGTTGTTCGTTGCAAGGCTGGGAACCCTAGTGACCGACGACCCTATATTACCCTCTTGACTCTAAGCATTCAATCAGGAATCACCGATCCTCTCCAAAGTCTGCACTGGGCGAACCTAATGGCTATATACGAAAAAAAAACTTGAACCAACGAGACAGTCTCCAACGAACAAGCATCACGAACCAATGTCTCCACTTTAGATCACTAAAACAGCTGAGTCTACAAAAAAAGAAGGGGCTTTAGACAACAACGTCTTTGACGTTGTACCAGGAGACATTGGGAAAAAGCTCTACAACTTGCTCCAAAACCTTACTTGTTATAGTTTTCCTTCCAAACAGAGTGATGCTACAGTAACAGGCCAGAGAAAATCACCCTGAGGTTTAGAGGCAATCACGTTTGCTTGAAACTTCAGTCAAAAAAGAGTTCACTCAAGAAGCTTACTGGTCCTTTTCAGGGTCATCGGACGTCGAACTACCTTGCCAACAAATATATTGCTACCTAATAAAGTTGAAAAAAATAGCCTTTATGGCTCACAAAAATCTTAACTATCCCAAAAGGCGCAAGAAGTTAAATTGGAAGGATAACTTTAAGGTGGCTCTAGTGGCCTCTATGTTAAAATTATAAATAACCCAACCGAGGTTAATGAAATTGAATTATATTCTTTGAATTCCCATCTTTCTATTCATATAAAAAAAAATTACGGTTGACGATGAAAATTGTAAGAAATCATGCTTACAAAATCGCAGTTTTAAGATGGGTTAGATAGGAAATGCAAGCTTATGCGATATACAACCTACTGCTGCACTTATACAAATAACCCGTAAGGTGTAAAAAATATACTATCTTGAATATATTATTACGCAGTTTTCTATGACATGAGAAAAGTGTCTTGTTATCGAACAAAAATCTTTAAATAATTGGAGACTAAGTATACAGTTGCGAATGCAAGTCAGCTCTCAGCTGTCTGCATTCTGCAGAGTACATATATATAGGTATAACTACTCTTGAACTTAGGAGCGTACCGTAACAGTTCATCAATTAGGGCACCATACAACTTTTTTGTTTTTTTATATTTAAATTACTATAGTAACAGATAAAATGTAGAATATGGCTTACAACAGTCTCTACGATAATTTTATACCATATTTTAAAGAAAATAATGATTAATTTTTAGTCTCCCCATTTTGATACGGCACTCGGCGCTGGAGCCACCTTAAATGCATCTAATAAATACAATTTTAGGCGTCAAGAAAATGGCGCTGAACATTCGTCGAGATTAAAGCAGCACCAAAATCGACGAATAAAAAATGTATTAAGTAAGAAATAAGGTTTTCGCTAGAAGCCCCATAGTAATTTCTTCAAACTTCCAGATTTTTCAATAGGTATATAATATGTATTTGTGACTTCGTGGCAATAAAAATTGTAGAGATTAACCTCCAAAACTTTGTTGCTGTGGTAATAAAGTTATGAGATAAGAGAAAAAAATGTTTTTTTTAATTTGGTATTTTTTGTAAGTTTTAAATCCTTATAGCTTCAATAAATAGCCCTGTTTATAGATTATGTGGGAGAAACCGCAAATCAACGGCCTTTGAGGGTCAACGATTATTTTATGGCATAAGGAATGCACGGTACTTTTCAGCATAATTATATTTTTTTTACTTTTTTGCAGCTTCTTACTTGAACAAATCAACTGTATAGATTCTGAACAAATATGTTTTTAATAAGAAAATTTTTGTTCTGAGAAGTACACTGAGAGATACTTTCCATTTACGTGCACAGTGTACGTTTGGCGTTCAGCCGCGTGGTGGCGTGTCGACACCCAACTAGCTGAGTGAATACCGAGCGCTCACTCAGCTTTCAGAGGAACAAATTTCGTTCACTCACAAATCTGAGTGAACGCACTCGACGGGCCGTACGACTGTCTAACCGTCACTGAGAATATCATACGTATATATGTACGTACACGCGATAGACATTGCTGATTTCGAAGAACAGTATTTCTTCAAGTATTTCTTCAAGAAAGTGTTCAAAGTGTTCAAATCAAAATGGTCCTCCGATCAAAATTTCTGGATTGAGATTTTAATCCAAGCACCAAGAGCTAAAAGCAATTGTACAAGCTCAAAGTTCTAGGATAAATATTTTAAAAACTATTGCCACTAGGTATCTCTTAAAATTAATAAATTGTTCTTTTATATCATACAAAAAAATGAATATCGAATACGGTGCTGTCGTGTCTAATGATATTATTTCTTCTTTTTTTCCTCTTTTTAAAGACAAATGTTGTTTAACTAAAGTACTTATTAATGATGTAACATATAAATTAGGAACTGTAATAGTAGCTTGTATCGGAGAAAATAATCCTGAATTTGGAGAAGTGCAAGAAATTTGCAAAGTTGAAGATGAAATATATTTCTTATACGTTCCATTCAAAATAATTGGCTTCGATACGCATTTTTTTGCTTATAGCGTTTTCAAAAATATAAATGAAAAAAAAGTTATCTCTTATCAAAAATTACATGACCGATATCCTTGTATAATTGTAAAAAAAGACGATTGTTTGTACGTTGCCCCTAGGCATCGATTGTAAAGTCTAGTGCGACGGATTAAAAAATATTAAAAGTTATTGAACGATTTATTGATGAAATAAAGTTTTGTAAAAAAAAATTCCGTCTTACACTTATTACTTAAATTTAATTTCTTGTACAAGTAACGATAGCAATGCTGTCACCCTTCAAACTAAAATGATGAACATCATGTATATCCATGCACATATAAATACGTATGTATACATATGATATTCTCAGTGTCGGTTAGACACTCGTACGGCCCGTCGAGTGCGTTCACTCAGATTTGTGAGTGAACGAAATTTGTTCCTCTGAAAGCTGAGTGAGCGCTCGGTATTCACTCAGCTAGATGGGTGTCGACACGCCACCACGCGGCTGAACGCCAAACGTACACTGTGCACGTAAATGGAAAGTATCTCTCAGTGTATTAGAAATAGATTAAAAATTTTCAACTGAAAACGTTTCACATTACATGTCAATTTACTTCAGTGTTCCATTTGGTGAGCCTCGGGCGAAGCCGTGACGGGGGGGGGGGCTGCTAGTATATGTGGGAGAGTTTGTGTGTGTATGTGTGGGCGCGCGTGTGTATGTGTGTGTTTAAGAAAGGTGACTCATGCGGACAATAATATGCATGGGGGGGAGGGGGGTAATGATCCGGACAAATTAGGAATTATGAGGACGTCCGCATAATTCTACCGTGTTATTAACAAATGTCTTTAAAGCATGTAGAGTCTGCATAGCTCATCTTTTCTAAACACAGACACACACACACACACACACACACATACATATACTAGTGGTGCTCCGCTCCCCTGCGCAATCCGCGCGCCAACCCCCCCTTTTATTGTGTTATAAGTGTTATTTTTTCAAAATAAGGTTTGTATTAATATTTTTTAAAGCCTTAAAAAATGATGAAATTAATTGTTAGTATGAAAATAATATGTTGAAGTATATTTTACAGAATTCGGAAGACTATGGCATTTNATAATACGTCTGAAGAAACGAATCCTCAAATTAACATTAATCACAAGTCTCAATCTTTCGTTGAATTACAAGCAACCGTCTCTGGAGAGATTGTAGGTCATTCTACTGGCAAGTATAAAGGATTGTAGTGAGTTTTAGGTTGTTTTCATTCATGACGAGAAGTGAACATCAGTATACACTGATAGAAAAGTACAGTGTGATTGGCAGTGCTGCCGCTCTGACTGTAGCGGCCCAAGTAGGCACCTAAAAGATATGTCTACTATAGTACTAGAAAGCCAAGTAGATACTACTTGGCTGCCCCAGGCAAACGAGACAGTCACAAACCAATACAGTCACATTTGCTGAGTACTCCTCAGTAGAATCTACAGATCTACTTGGCTCTCCAGTAGACCTAGCTTTTAGGTGCCTACTTGGGCCGCTACAGTCAGAGCGGCAGCACTGCCAAGCTAACCCTACTGTATTTTTCTATCAGTATAGAATACGGAAATCAGACACAGCTTTCATGCAGACATGCATTTCTATTTATTTAAAATTACCAAAAGGTTATTATTTCAGATTTACAGGATGTAACTTTGAGTGAATCGCCTATTCCAAACATATCTAACAGTTGCTTACTATCAGAATCAGAAGAATTAAATTCAACAGTCAAAGCGGGTGATTCTTCAGCAAAATCATTAAACCAACAGACATCTATTTTTATTGAAGATCCTTTTTATTGGGTAGTCAATAATCAAATAATCGATGATATTTTGAAATCTGGTTTCAAGCAGAACATGGATGCTGATTTTTCTTTATCGAAAAGAACGATATGCGGCAAGGATCGATTCATGCAAAAAGCATTTTTTAAAAGAACTCTTCAAAATAGACAGACTAGTAAACGCGACTGGTTAATTTACTCCCCTAAAGCGTTAGCAGTTCATTATGGCCCATGCAAACTTTTTGGAAATCAGTCAGTTTTTACAAACGGATATAACGATTGGAGCAATATTTATCGACTATTGAAAAAACATGAAAACTCAATTGATCACAAAAATAACGTAATTAAATGCATTGAAAGAAATCGTGCTAATAATGCAATAAGTATACAATTAGAAAATCAAATTATTGATAAAATAGCTTATTCGCGCGGTGTTTTAAAGCGTATTGTTGTTGCAATTAAATCGTTAGCGTCTCGTGGTCTCGCATTCCAAGGAAAAGATGAGCATTTTGGGTCTGTTCATGAAGGAAATTATATCATGATTTTAGAAGCTATTGCTGAATTCGATCCATTTTTGAAAAATCATATTAAAATACACGGAAATAAGGGTACAGGTAATGTATCTTATTTATCTTCAACGATTTGCGACGAGATTATAAAATTGATGGCAGATTCACTTTTACAAAAAATAATTTCTGAAGTCAAAATAGCCAAATATTTTTCTATTAGTACAGACTCAACTCCAGATATAGCGCACGTAGACCAACTTACTTTTATAATAAGATACGTAAATACTTCAGGTGCTCCCGTTGAATGATTCATTGAATTTATTCCCAATAGCGGACACAAATCCGAAGGGCTTCCTCAAACTGTTTTTGATATTACTAAAGAGCTAGGCTTAGATATTAAAAACTGCAGGGGTCAGTCATATGATAATGCTAGCAACATGTCGGGAGTTCATTCTGGACTCCAAGCTTGAATCAAACAAGTGAATCTCCTTGCTGTGTATGTACCATGCTCAGCTCATTCTTTAAATCTTGTTGGTACATGTGCTGTTGAAAATTGTCCTGCAGCTGCAAATTTTTTTCGTAGCTTGCAAAGCTTGTACGCATTTTTTTCCGCATCAACTCACAGGTGGGAGAAATTACAAAACAAGTTATTGTCTAAGTCGACTGTAAAAAAACCTTCAAAAACTCGTTGGTCGGTGAGGCATGATGTATGTAAAAGTTTATCTGAAGGGTTCTTAGAAATATTATCCACTTTGCAAGAGATTCACCAAAGCAAAAATGAAAAACCTGAAAATACCTTTTAGGTAAGTTATTTATGGTTGTCCCAAAAGCTTCAGTGGGTCTGGGGTAAATAATCAAGAGCAGTTCATAACAGACAAATGAAGTATGATTATTTAACTTACCAACAGGGGCGGACTAAGGCTTCTAGCTGCCCTACGCCTTTACAGGATTGCCGCCCTTATTGGCAGACATTGGTTACATTAAAAACATGATTAAAAAAAAAAAAAAAGAAAAAAAAATTCCTCTATATTTAAATCTTAGCAAAAAGCTAATTTTTCGATCTTGATTTGCTTAATTTATTTTTCACTGAAGTTGAAGTTAATTACAATTACTGTTATCCTANTAGTGTGAAAATAACATGTTGAAGTATATTTTACAAAATTCAGAAGACTATGGCATTTTTCGAAAATACTCAAAAATGAATTTTCCAAGCTATAAAATGATTACTGGTCTGCTTTTAAGAAAGTATGAAAAACAAGCTGCTGATTTCAAATAAAAGTGGTAAAGTTTATACAGACAGAGAAATGTGCCCTTAACTTTTTGTTAGTAAGCTTTATTATTTCTTCTAGTGGACCCCTTTTTTAACTGAACTGTCTATCCTGTATGTGTCAATAAATATTTCTAAGCTCTTATAACTATATATGCCCCCTGCGCGCTCTGCGCACCAACCCCCGTAGTTGCAAATTAGATTTACGAAGTATGGAAAAAAACCCAAATTATATCAATTATTACTTAAAATTTATGTATGTAGAAAATCTATATTGATCATAATTAATAACATGAATTTTTAACAATCACTTTTAATTTTCCCTGACTAATAACAGCTATTTCTATGGGATTAGTAGAACATGATTTTCAAAACGATATAATTTTTGAAGAAGCATGTAACGTTATGCTGCCTCTTCAACTACGAAAATTTTTCGCATGTTTCATTATGTCTGAAAATTTTTTTGGTAATATTATTTGGAAGAAATACAAAAAATTTTTCATTGAAGAAATACAAAGAATTTTTCATTGAAGATTGTGAAGATGATCAAAATGAAGCTCTTTTACAATCAAACGAAATTTTTAATTCTGTAAATATGTCTTGTAAAGATTTCAGTTTACCAGAACCAACAGAAACGATAAAAAAAAAATATCGATACTGACAATGATGAAAGAATATTTTGTAAACATAAATTCCATGGAATGTTTTCACAACTCAGTCTTGATCAACGTCGAATTTTTCCAGAAATAATAAAACTTGGAAAAAAAATTTTTTTCATCGATGGTCCTGGTGGATCTGGAAAAACTTTTCTATACAAAACATTAATTTATTATTTCATATCAATGAAAAAAAAATTCTTACAATGGCTTGGACGGGTATTGCTTCTATTCTGCTCCCAAAGAGAATGACCACTCACAGAACTTTCAGACTTCCTTTAGACTTAAGCACTATAGAAAGTGCATTCTTCAGTTTAAGCCAGATAAACAAAAATTACGTAATGTGGAAGTAATTATTTGGGATGAAGCTTCTAGAATACCGAAAAAAGCGTTAGAAATCACGATTTGAAAAGTTAAAAAAAAAAGTTGGTCAAAAAAAATTTTTTTTATGGTATTTCTACTGTACACAACATTAGTAACAAACATCTGAAGTGATGCAACTATAAAATTTGCTGGTCAAAAGTTATATGAAATTTTATAAAAGTCAGTTTTCGTCGATTTTCGAAGAATTGTATCACTTTCAAACACGTGTAGCTAAGCTCCTTCAGCAGTTTGACTGTTTTTACTTAGCTAAAATAAAAGCTGGGATCAAGACCTAATAATTAAAAAAAAATTTTGTTCGATTTTTTACTTCCATTCAAAAGTTACAGCTGTTTCAATTAGAACGTAAAAATCACTAATATCGTGATTTTGGCTACAATTCAGTATTTTTCATAGAATCACTACAACTTTTTATTCGGAGCATAAAGTTTAAAGATTTTTGTTGTAATCATAATGACTATGTTTTCGCTTTCATTTAAGCCGAGGTAAAGCCACCTGATGGAGTGCACCAGTTGGATACCAACGTTGAAAGCAGCACCACCGTTTTTGCATGAATGTAGCGAAAAAGGGTCAACTATAAAACCTCGAGACATATGTCTCGTCTTTAAGTCCAACAGAGATAAAAAAAAAGTTTGGCTGGGACTGATTGCTCTAAAACGAAAAAAACGGCCCTTTGAGGTGAGGTAGGGTAGGAATGGAATTTTCAAAGTTTGTAGGGTTCGTACGACTCATAAATAGACGCATTATTACAATGACTTGTCCACTCATAATTTATTTACTAGACTCAAATGCAATAAAAAAAACTGTAGTTTGCATACCTTTACACGCACACCGACTGAGTGGTTCCATGGGGGTCGGAACGGAATCAAATGTTTGTGTGTGCGAAATACGAGAGGTAACAACTTCTGCAGTGCCAGATTGGTAAGCGGAGAGGCCCTAGGCAAATTTTTGGTGGGGGCCTATTATTACAAAACAAGTTATTGTCTAAGTCGACTGTAAAAAAACCTTCAAAAACTCGTTGGTCGGCGAGGCATGATGCATGTAAAAGTTTATGTGAA